ACTATTTTACACTTTTCATTTGAATTAATTGGTGTCATTAAATTACACGCAGGATGTAAACGTTTTCAGACGACTATTATAATTTTTATAAAGTCTCACGTTGGTATAAGAATGTTTATGTTTTTGAAGTGTAATATTATGTTTCGTTTATTGGCCAGAAGCTATGAAATAACAAGCTTAAGGCTCATTTAAAACCGATATAAAGATATTATCAATATTTCTTTATATTCTGTCTTCAGTCTTCACTTACTCAATGGTATGATTGCTAGCTGAGTTATAAAGGAAATTAGGTATTATGGTACCCCTAACTCTTTTAATATCGGCCGTAAGTGATGACAATTTGACTTACGATTTGTCGAACGCCTTACGATCTATACAGCAGATGTATAACGGGATTTTGAATTCACTTGATTTATCAATAACTTGTTTCATATTCAAAAGATGCTCCCGTTTACTTTCTTTTCTAATCCAGCCTACTCTTCTAGTACTTCTCTTATCTATTATCTTGCTCGCTTGTGAGATAAGAAACATAGTTCCAATATATTAATACTCTAAGTATTCTTTATGAACAGCAATAAAAAGGGTTCTTCTTCTTCTAGTTCCATGACCGTTATCGATCGTTGGATATCATGTTGGCTACCATATTCGCTATCGTGACTTTATTGACAGCAGCTCTAAATAACGATGTAGTTGATTTTCCATACCATTGCCTTAGATTTTTTAGCCATGATGTTCTTCTTCTACCAGGACCACGATTACCTTGGATCTTTCCCTGAATGATCAGATGTAAAAGATCATATTTTTCAGGGTGTCTCATAATATGACCGAAGTATTCCAGCTTGCGTTTATTAAAAAGGCTAAAAAGAGCAATAACTAATTCTCCACCCATTAAACTAAACGACGGTAGCTGGACTAAAAGCAATATGAAAAGCTAGAGAGATGATCTTAGTCATCTCGAGAGAGATGATGAATTAATGATACTCAAATACCAAAATACTTGATGCAAGACTTGGCTAGAAAGCCCATATTAAAACGAAAAGGGAAGAACCGGGTATCTGTTACAAGACAATTTATAGGCTGATGGGAAGAAACTTAGCATTGTCCACACATAACAAACAACATTGTCCATGCATAAAAAACAACTGTTATACAAACAAATACTGAGACCAGTATGGACTTATGGTTGCCAAGTCTCAGGCTGTGCCAATTCAAGTAATATCCAGATTATCCAGGGATTTCAGAATAAAGAATTAAGGAACATTGTTGATGCTCCTTGGTACATCATAAATGTCGATCTCCATAAGGACCTTACGATGCAATATGTAGATAAAGTTATCAAAAAGATAACAGATTCACGCATGCTTATTGAATAAATCATGTTTTTGCAATTGCTACTCGAACAACGGTTTCATAGTCATATAAACGTCGTGGCCATACAGCTCCTTGATAATACTGGGTTAGAAAGAAGACTCAAAAAAAGATAACTACTTAAGTTAGTGTAAAATGTTAACTAGTATAAAAGCCAAGCATAATGCTGTGTTGTGTGTTAGTGTTAGCTAAAATAAGAGGACACCATAGGGTTAAGTTCTTAGAAATTTGAAATATAATTTAGTAACAACAAAAAAGATATCCACATATCTTAAAGCAACCAAAATATACAAAACTGAACTCAAAAACAAAACAAGAAGAGTAGCTGCCACAATTAAGGTGCAATATACTGTGTAGCCGAAAAGTTTCAGTCAACGAAGCTAAAAGTTTCAGTCAAAGATCTCCAAAAGTAAGTCAAAGCCCGAGGAAAAACTAACAAAGAAGGGCAATACTTCAAAAAAACTAATGAAGAATAAAGGAAATAGGAAAATGAAGGAACAGGAATTAGCGATGGATTAATACAATAATTTGAAGAGAAAAAAATAAACAAAATCATCGAGATAAAAGAAAAAACAACAGAATACGAATAAGAATATGAAATATTTAGAGTCTATTGAAAGCAGGCAAAATAAAAGAGCTGTCGAAAGAGATAAAAATGTACAGCAAGATTGAAAGCGTGGGAAACCTGGGAAATATAAAAAACGATGGAAAGGTGAATACAGCATTAAAAAATAAATACAAAATGTTTTATTCTGTAGATACAAAGCAGTATCACATTGGAACAGCTTTCCTATCTATCTATATAAGGATTTTTACAGCTGTCGTCGCCTTCCTTCTTTCAGCCAACATCTCCAGTCCTTTCTGGTCTGCCATTCTCCATCTCTAAGGTCTCGTCTTTCCATGGCCTCGTCCACTTCATCCCTTCATAACCTTCGGGGTCTACCTCTTTTCCTCCTTTCTATTGGGCTCCAATCCGAAATCTTTGCTATCCACCTTGTATGATCTGTTCTTCTCACATGTCCATACCAAATTAAACGTTTTTCCATGATGTAGCTGAGTATGTCTTGTTCTACTTTATCTCCTCATTTCTGATGCGATCTATTTTTGTCACTCTGCAGCTTCTTCTCATGAACTCTATTTCAGTTGCTGTGATTTTGGACCTGTTTCGTTTATTTATTACCCAATTCTCTGCTCCATAGGTCATTATACTGCCTACCAAGGTTTTATAAATTCTCTTCTTTGTATTTCTGGTAATCTCTCTATCCCACAGTACCCCGTTAATTTGTTTAATACATGTTCTTGGCTGTGCTAATCTGCTGATTATCTCTTGCTCGGTGGTTCCATTTTTCTTGGGCTTTCATAATTAGCTTAAAAAATAAGGGAGATAGATTTTACAGCAGTATGTGGAAGACTCCCCTAAAACAAAATTAAAAAACGGACAATAAGTATTTGTGTATATAAAAAGATTCTGAAAACTGAGATACTAATCATTATAATGCAATAATAGGAAAGAAAAAAAAACAAACACGTAGCTGGAAAACAAATTCTCCACACCAATACGCATACTAATATGAGAATACTATGTAACCTATGTGTAACAAATACACTTAAAATCAGTACACACTTCAAACACAAAAAAAAATATGTGAACACATTAAGATGAGAGAACCAGATAATTGAGGGTCTTAGATAGCCAGATGCAAAACAGGATAGAATTGTACAACCAATTTTGTAGTACCAAACAAAGCCAATGAGGAGTCATTTTCCGCGACACATGAATCAGACGAAAATCGCTCTGGTAGGAGTCTAGAAGCCATGATGAAGAGAGTTCGTACAGTATAGCCCAAAATAAACAGTACTGAACTTGTAATTATTTTATTATTTTAAAAAATACATAATATTTACACTTAATAACATGTAAATGAGCTTCTCCTCTCTCAAGATAGACTTCATACCGATATTCCAGATGTCTCGTAATGTTATGGAATAAAGGTTGTCTCAAGTCCGCGAAGACGGCTCTAACGGCATCCTTTAACTCATTGATGGTTTGTGGTGCCCGTTTAAAAACGGCAGTTTTAGCCATGCCCCAAATGTATACGTCTAGAGATGTTAAGTCTGGTGAATGTGCAGGATAGGAGAAGTCAGTAAATCGTGAAATGAATTTCTTTGGAAAATGCCCCTGGAGGATTTGACAAATTGCGACACCAGTATGGTAAGTTGCCCCATGCTGCTGGAAAAATTGGTCTGGAAATGCCAAATTACGTGCACGGCAAAATTGACGTAGATCAGGGATAAAGCGTGTTAAAATTTGTATGTACCTCTGTTGATTAGGTGTGACTTGACTTGCCTACTATTTTCTTCGATAAAGTATGGACCAATGATTTCGTGTCACACCAGACACTCACTGTTGCGCTATGTAAAGGAACTTCTTGAACTTCATCTGGTCTGGCAAAGCCCAGAAATCGATTTGTGCGACAATTTACATGGCCTGACAAATGAAAATGTGCTTCGTCTGAAAACCATACATTTTTCAAAAATTCAGGATTTTCATACAATGCAAGAAGTCTGGCACAACATTCCACTCTACTGTGATAACCCCTAGAATGTAATTTTTGATGTACCTGAATCACATACGAAAATGCACCCAGCTCCTTCAGGATTATTTGCAAGGAAGTTCGTTTTAGGCCAAGATGCAAAGCTGTTTTTATCTGGTTGGCTTTCGGATTTTCCAAGATTCATTCAAAAACACGTTCATGGTTATCGTTGTTGTTAACTGTCCTGCGACGCCTTGAGTTTCCTTTTCGTTGGCACAGTACATTACCCGTATATCTAAACTTTTCAACAACCTTCAAAATTACAGCATTACTTGAAGAACGTTTATTAACCCGTTGTGTGAATTGATCACCCACGTATTGTAGACTTACACTATTACGTCGGCCGATTCTATATGAGCGAAAATAATGCTCCACAAGAAACGCTTTCTCCTCTGTACTTAACACCATTTTTAACAATTAGGCCTTTAATTGTTTAAGGATTACTTGACAGGTCTATACTAGTTAATTTGAATATGACAGCGCACACAGAGAGACATCTATGTTTCAGTTTCAGTACTGTTTATTTTGGGCAATGCTGTATTTGTACAAACCTCACTCGACAACATCAGAACAGATATTGTAAAATTATCTAGAATTTCTGGTAGACTTTATCTGGTGTAATAAAATTATTTACTATTGGTATATACTGTTAAAGGTATACATAATTAATAAGTACAAAAAGGTGCAGGGCCAAAGAACTTTTAGATATATAAATAACCTTGTCAATTAAATTGGTATGCAAAAAAATAATAAATGAATGATACTTTTTACAAGTAAAGTACTACTAAACAGTATCATTCGTGGTTTATATAACAAACATATTTATTAATATCATATACTTCTGCAGCTTTTTAACAATGGCTTTATGTAAGAAAGAACATTAAGAAACTGATTTACAACCAATCGTATGAAATTTAATAGTTAATTATACATATATGTATCCTAATTAAACGCATATTTTCTAACACTTTCGATGTAAACTTCAAGAATCCTTTAATTTTTTTACTGATTATCTAACAAATAATGTTTTTGTTTCAGACACCGACATTACGAAGACGAAAATGAATGGGGTTGTGGTAGCTGGTTGGAGTACACTGTGGTGGTGGTATGCGCGAGCATCCTCCTCCTTGGATCCTTGGCCCTCACTTTGTTTTGGGTAATACAATACCGAGGAGGTTTCGCATGGAGGGAAGACCCCGCGAAGGAATTCAATCTACATCCGGTTCTTATGGTAGCAGGGTTCATTACTTTCAGTGGCTTTTGTAAGTAGAGTTGCAATTTTTCATTTAACTGTGTTGGGAAAAGTTCCCAACACCTTGAATTTAAATTATATAATAAATTAAAATTTTGAACCTCTAGCGCCATTTTCGTGCGTTCCCAATGTCACATTTTTTATGACATAAGTTCCAATCTGTTACACTTAGAAAGCCTTCTCGTCATGAGAGGGCGTTGAATGCCTTTAGGTCGCACATGTTAATAAATAAAATAATATAATATGTAATATCAAATAAAAAACACATAAATGCAGGAAATCACTCTCAGATAATTGTAAGCTTATATATTCACTCTAAAATAAATTTATTGTGAAAGGGGACTTATCCACCTAGTGGCAGTTTTCAAAAACTGCAAGATGACAATCAGCAAGGAGAGAAGTTGGCGGTGTCATAGAAAAAATATATACGGCGTTGTGTCTTCGCCATTAGCCATTTTTTTTTTAAGTTTTTGACAATTATATTATAAAACGATCTTAAGAACGTGAACTAGATGGAGTCATAGGTGCAACGAAAGGAAAGCATCTTTTATAAAAGTGTTCCTGCTACCAGTTACCGTCAGAAGCATCTTCTGAGGGGTCTCAAGTACTATGCAGATTTATTGTAAGGTAATGTTCTCTATTATTGAAGTCCTCCATGGCCAGAGACACAATTTAAAACGGAAATTTGTGTACACACACTCTATTCGCGAATGAAACCATATCTCGTGTGCTTAATATAAGTTAATGTTAAAATTTAGAAGGCCGAATAAGTATGTGCACATTTCTCTGATAAATATGAATTCATATTCATTTGTATTGTAACCCTTTTTTTTGTTTGTAAGATATTTAATGATTTAAAGACAAAAAGGAGGTAGTATATAAAAATTACGAGAGAGTAAAACTTTAACATACATTATTGTTATTTGTTAGTTTTCAATACACTTATAGTACTGTTTATTTATTTTATTTCACTTATACCTAATAAAGTCAATTTTGGAGATTCTGAACCAGCCCCTAACTGGAAATACAATAATAACTCTAGGAGTTTTTATATAGTCGGAGACACGTTTGTCGGTCCTCCACGCTCGAGTGGTTGCAAGGCAGACCAAAGTAGTTTGCTGAGCGACCAAACTGTTATCGTCCATTCCTCATAATTTGCATGTTTTATAACAAGGTATTTTTTGTGCGTATCGATTATATTATTTTATATTATTTACTTGTTCTGTACCTTGTCAAAAAATGAAGACAAAAGTGTACAAAATACACCAGAAGATGTACATAATACTTTAAAAAAGTATCTGCACAAGGCGACAAAAAAATTGTGTTGTAAAAGATTATAGAATATAAAAAAATTGTTTGCTTTTTAAGTTGTTCTGTATGAGAATGAAAATAAAGCTTTCTATAATCAATTAGAAGACATACTTAGATATATTCCATTAGAAAGTAGTAATGGGAGGATTTTAATTCACATATAGTGCAATCTATACAATCTACAATCTATCTTCAAATATAACAGAAGTCTTAATACAATTTGAAGAAATATTATTAGAGATACTATAATTGAAATACTTGAAAAAACCTTACAAACGAAGTATTAGAGTAAAGAAACCTTTTGGTAGTTAAACAAATTTCAAGAAAAAAAAGTAGAACAGAAAACTATACAAAGGGTAGCAAAAAAATAAGTTTAACAGAATTTTTCAAAACAATAAGGTAGCCAAAAAGGAAACAAAAGTAGGAGTAGCGGTAACATAAGCTATATAGTTACTCTTGTTAAAATATTTCTGTCGACTTTCCTTCTCATTAGTTTTTCTAAACGTTAGCTTTGGGAACACTTTCTGTACATAGGTGAATGCAAACAATTTACTTCGATTTACTTTTTATTGTTTTAATGATGGTAAGTTATATATAATAGTTTCCATGGGAGTTTGTGTGATTTCTGTTTGGTTTTCCAAATTTAAATCAGTGTTGAATAATTTTTGTTGATGGGAAAACCATTGTTTTGACGATGTTTGCGCAAGGTCAAGGATTAGCACGTGAAACCATGAGACAAATCCGGAAAATTTCAGAAATCATATATTACATATATAAATTTCTTCAAAGTTTCTTGGCATCGTCAGAGAAGAGCTACAAAGTTATATTAACAGTATCATTCCCGAGAGCATTATTTAGGATTACTTATAGAAATTGACCAATGATATAAAACGTCCCAGCCCAGCGGCCCAGTGTAGAGAACACTGAGAAGAACTGAGGGAGGCCTAATAGTAGGAAAATATAACTTGTCTTTCACACACAATACAAAAAATTCAAAACACTAATTAAATAATTAAATTACCACTTTAAATATGTAGAATACAATAATTATCTCTATGATCGATAATGATATGAAAGACATCTCTATGAGAGAAGAGAGCATTTGAAAACAGCTGTAAAAAAAAAGAAGAAAGGGAAAGACCAATGAAAACATGGCAAGAAAAGTGGAACAACAAGGAAGATGCTGCCCAATGGACCAATATGCTGATCCCGATCCGGGACTGGGTAGATTTTGTGTTTTAGGGCGTATCTTCATAGGTTCAGAAAGATAGATACAGATAAATGCCTATACTGCGAATATTCCGACGTTATTACTCACACAATGCTGGAGTGTAATAGATGTACAGTGGAGAGAAACAGAATGTATAAAGAAACAGGTATGAACCCTGTGACTGTAAGCGAGAGGATCGTGACGATGGATGGATGGGATGGATACGGAGGGATGGAATAGTGTTCACAATTACCTCCGACCAGTCATTAAAAATAAAGAAGAAGAAGAGAAACATCAACCGGGCCAACGACAGAGACAAGATCTTATTACTATTTTAACGGGAATAAGTCGTTAATTGAAGGTTACAATAAGTTTATTGACGTTTGAATCTTTGATATTTGATCTTGCACTGATAACTTGTTTATACTCCAACAAGTAATAGAAAAAAGAATAGCGGTTAGTACTGAAGTACATCTAGCCTTCATCGACCTAGAAAAGGCGTATATTATAGTTGCAAGACTTAAATTGTGGCAAGCTTTACAACAACTCGGCATTAGTCCATACCTTTCAGGAATAATCACAGAAGTATACAGGGATAACACTACTTACCCAAAAATCGAAAATGGACTATTAGAGCCAATAAAAGTAACTAAAGGACTAAGACAAGGATGCAATATGTCACCCTTACTATTTAATTTATATATTGAGGCAATCCTCAAAAATTGGAAAAACCACTGCCAGGGAATGGGAATCCCCATAGAAAATGATGTAATGTTCTCCCTGAACTTTGCGGATAACCAAGTCCTAGCTCACGATTCTTATGATCTAGATTTTATGATAAAGCGTCTATACAGAGAATATGTAAAATGGGGGTTACTGAAGAAAACAGAATATTTAGTTATCAATTCAGATGCAAGGTTTGAAATGTTGATATACGAGGACGTGAAAATCAAACAAGTGGAAAAATTTAAATATTTAGGTGCACTCATTGCTAAGAATGGCTTGGGAGAAACCGAAATTAAACACCAAATTAATCAGGGATGTAAAATTGTAGGATGTCTGAACTTCTTATGGTGGGATCGCAACATTTCCAAAAGAAACAAAAAAAGAATAGGGCAAACCATGGTTGAATCAGTTCTTTGTTATGGCTCTGAAGTATGGACAATTAATGCAGACCTGAAGAGAACATTGTTGGCAGTTAAAATGGATTATTTGAGAAGAAGTGCTAGAACATCAAGGCTGGAAAGGAAGACCAACGAATCTATAAGAAATATCAGAAATGCTACAGACACCGTCATTGACAGAATAGAAAGACGAGGTTTAAAATGGTTTGGACACCTATTGAGAATGCCTGACGAACGTTGACCCCAAAAACTTCACAGATAGAAGCCTCTGGAAGAAAAAAAGAGGTAGTTCTGGTCTCTCATGGATTGAAGGAATTAGAAGAGCGATAGAATCGAGAGGTTTGGAGGAGGAGCATGCCTTGGTCCAGGAGGATTGGCGAAGGAGAACGGGAATACGGTGATACCCCTCTCCAAAATGCACTGTATTTACAAGTTAGATCCTTTAATATATATATATATATATATATATATATATATATATATATATATATATATATATATATATATATATATATATATATATATATAATTCTTTGGAGGATAACTTTCGGGAAAGCGTCAAAACAAGGATCAGCTAGAGATGGTATAAGCCAGTTTGGTGTAGAACTTTATTCTAAATGTAAAATTTTCACATTTAGAATAAAGTTCTACACCAAACTGGCTTATACCATCTCTAGCTGATCCTTGTTTTGACGCTTTCCCGAAAGTTATCCTCCAAAGAATTGTATTCTTAGCGTCGTTACACAAACTCTATTTATATATATATATATATATATATATATATATATATATATATATATATATATATATATATATATAAAATTGACCAGAATTTTTGCTCAATACCTACCAAATGTAAAAATTGCTTATAAAAGCACTCTAGTTGTGAGATCTCTGTACAAGTCATTGAAAGATAAAGTACCAAACTTAGATAAAAGTGATGTGGTCTACAAACTTAACTGTTTAGGCTGTGAAGGTTCTTATATAGGTCACACCTCCCAAAAAGTTTCCAGCCGTTTAACTCTTCACAAGACTGACATTAGGTTACACCCTGATAGATGTTCCCTAGCCACACATGTTAACACAACAGGACACTCTTTCGATTTTTTAAATGTAAAAATCCTATCCACGGAGAGCAATTATTCAAAAAGATTGTTTCTCGAGATGGTTTTCATTTTTCAAGAAAAAGAAACCATTAATAAAAAGACAGATACCAAGAATTTAAGCAACTTATAATCATTATTGTTAACTTTAGATAAACATGAATCTACTAATACAGACAATTCATCGTTAACAATATAAGTTTAATTATATATGAGATATACAATATCTCTCCTATTTCTAAAATAAGTCTTTTTCATCTTT